TGTGTGTGTGTGTGTGTGTGTGTGTGTGTGTGGAGAGTGACAAAGTCGAGCCTCTATTCAAACACTGAGTGGGTCAGTTCAGAATGAGTGTATCTGTACACACTGTTCAATCTATAATGTGTGTGTGTGTGTTGTTTGTGTCTCCAGGTCGTTATAGTTAAGACATCCACCCAAAATCTACAAACCCTGCCTTCAAAGAGGCTCACCATAAAAATAAATAAGATTTGTTCTTATTTTGTATACAGCGATACGTAACTACGACTAACATAATCCAGCAGAGCTCTTTTAATTCAATTTTAAATATGCAGAATGGAGAAAATGGTACAAATGACGGATATAAAAGTACTTTCTGGAGAAACTAAAACACGTAAATGTACAAAATAAAAAGGATTTTAGAAATAAAACTGCAGCTTCAGTTAATACTTAATAGAAAAAACAACACCTTAATCTCACATCTATGCTGCGTTGATATTTCATGGGTGTTTTTAATGTGAAAGGGTTAATTCAATATTTTCGAAAAGACTATTATTCTCTTTTTTTTTAGACTTGAGTAATAATGTAAATTCCACATTCACACATGATTGGTATGGAGCTTTCATCTAACTTGCCATAAGGGCAAATCAAAGGTTTCCCAAATGTGGAGCTATTCCTTTAAAGCCCATTATAGTTCATTACAATAAAAACAATTACATATTTTGACCTCCTTTGGCCACATTGACATGCGTTCACTGTGATCATAATATAAAAGTTAAATGACAGTTCTGTATGCACTCCCTTTACTCTTACATAGATTATTATATCGTGTTTCAAAAGCGGAAACAATTCTTATATTTTAGAAGATATTTAAAGTTGATTTGCATAGAAAAGCCAATATTTGCCTTTAGCTTATAATCAGAGCAAGAGTTATTTAGAAAAATATAGAGAAAGTTAAAGCAATTATTTCAACACATAAACTCTCTTTTCATCAAAGGGGAAACAGTTAGCATGAAGGTTTGTTGTATGAGCTGTATATATACAAATAATATATCAGAGGAAATATATCAGAAACAATATATTGACCCTGCAGTGTGTGTTTCATAGAAGACACTCAAATGTCCACTGTCAGTTTCACTCACCTTCATTTTGTCTAATCTGAAACTACTTAGCGTGTCTCCTTGACAAATTGAGATGAAAAACACTTAGCAAGCACTTCTACTTTAGAGAATACAAAAGTATATTTTGAGAGATCATATTATATTTGCTGTGTGTAAACGTTGTGTTGCGTGGCACATTTGATTTCCCCCCTTTGTTGCCATTGTATTCGTTGCACAGATTTCATTGTAGGAGAAGTAAGGTCTCTAGAAGTAAAAAAACAAAACAAGGGGCGGATCAAGGTGAACAAAGGGAGGAAATGACAGAAAGCAAACATGGCATGTGATAAACTGTACATAAAGCAGATTGTGACGACTCATAACCCGCCACGCACCATCACAATAGCTAGCAAGACTGTTGAAACGTCACTATAAAAACTGCTCTCTCGAACACTGTGTCTCTTTTTCTCCCCGCGTTGAAGCCTTAGCGGACTTTGTGTTCACCCCGAAATGTTACACAACTGTGAGAGATTGTGTGTGTGTGAGAGATTGTGTGTGTGTGTAAGGATGGCGGGCACACACGTCAAGTTATTCAAAAATCAGCTCTGACTTTTAAAGAGGGCACTTTTATTCTGAAATTAGCTAAGGACTTCAGAGTGTCGAGAATGACTTTGGGTTTATTTCTGCCCCCGTTTTTATTGCTATCAAAGCTGTAGGATTAAAAAAACAAAACAGATAACGTTTAATCTATCAGTGTTTGACTAGTAATTTCTCCCGGCCCTCCTTCCTTCTCCTCACCGCTCCACTCCAACCCCAGTGCCAATGACCAAGACTTTTATTTCGATCACAGTTCACGTGATCCGTTATTTTCTTCTTCTTTTGTATTGCTCGCCGTATACTGTAGTGTTGGACTGATTTCTATCCTATGCATTTTCGTCTGTAGGGAAAAATCTGCACTGTAATGTATCCTCTCAACAAATCACGTAATCCAGATAAGAAGTTATTGAAACTGCATGACGGAAAGTTTGCAGTTCAGGAAAGTGTTAAAAACTGGGGGGGAAACTCTTGTTAGACCAACCATACTGTACAACTTGACCCTTTTGCAAGCAAAGTCACACAGTAACATTCAAAAGTCCTCTAATGCTTGCAGCTGCAGGTTTAATAGTTTACAGTTAATCTAGGCCAGATTAAGCCTTTTATTCTACTGTTAAAGGGACGGTCCACACTGAGATACTCAAACTCTGTATGCTGTACGTTCGATTGAACCGGGCCCATAATGCAGTGTTGGTCCGCCAATTTAGTGATGAGATGTAAAACAAATATTTGATGGACTGCCATGAAATTTGGTACAAGCATTCATGGTCCGCCTTAGGATAAATCCTGATGCCTTTGGTGATCTTCTGACTTTTCATCTAGAGCCAACAGGGTTTTTTTGTTGTCCAGTACTTGAGTTTATGACCCCAAGATGTACCTATGTCTTTTGGCAAATTAGCCTAAAAACGTTAGCATTAATCTAGAACTTAAACTTCATTGGCTTACTTTTAGTCCTAATTATCGGTAAAGCCACATCTGAGTTTAGTAATACTTTAGTTTTATTTCAAGTATATTTTTCTTTATTACTTATCCTTTAAGAATCAAAGAGAACAAGCTTCTTCAAACTGTGTTTTTGTAGTTTTGCACAGAGAGGGAGAAATTAATTGGCCAAGCGCCACCATTTGAAACCAACTACAACTTGTAGTCAACACTTAATTATACCCCGGTATATGCACTGATTTACACACATTTATGACCGTGTTTTGAGTATTTCTGGGTGGATTTTTCCCTTCAGCGTCCGGACTAGCCCACGCTCGACCTGACCCGAAGTGAAGCGGTAGCTCCTTCCCTTTTAGCTCGATCCCAGTGAACACAAAGTGTGATCGTTGCATTTCACGGAGACAGTTTTTCGGGAAAAGGGAGGCAGTTGTACTTACTGCTATGACCTGTGGGTAATGGTCTTTTCCAGATTTAATGGATGTGATTATTGGCAGCAAATGTTAAATTGCCACTCCGCTTTGGTGACTTTACAAACCACAAGGCAGGTTTTTCTTTCCAGATCTTAGCACGTGTTTCCAGTAGTGTACAAAATCTTAGCAGGGTTGGATTTGGGCGATTTTCTTTTACTTTATTCTTCTTCTTTTTATTTGAAGTGCTTTTTGAAACAGCAACTTGTGAATTTCGATGTATGTGACCAAGTGACTTTGACTTGTTTTGTTCTCTCTCTCTCAGAATCTCAGTAGGCAACGGATTCATGTTAATAATTTAGTGGTAGTTTGTCAGTGGTGTGTCCATGCAATATCTGTACACATCAGAAAAGAAAAAAAAACTGTGTGATGCTCTCTAGAGGCTTCTGGTGAGAGGTGTAGTCACTGGATTAATAAAACCAAAGTGTATTGAGCATAGAAACATGGCTGTGCCGCACCCTCCCCCATTTTTTTATGTTCAACATCCACTTCCTGTTTCCTACTCCTCAAACGTCAACCAGTATTAATGTCACTATGGCACAGCCCCTGTGACTTCATTAAGTGTTTGGCAATGCTCACAATTTTCTTTGGTAGCCAATCGGCACATACTATAAACATGTCAGTCACAGATTATGTCAAATTTGGATTTTCAAGTACCAAGTACATATCAACTTAGTAAATGCTGCAAAAGTATAAACATACTAAAAGAAATGTATTAATGGTGAATACCTGATAATAGCCAATACATTTATGTAGGAAATCAAGAGGTAAATATTGCTTTGAAGGTATTCAGCTAACCGTCAATTAAAATTAATTCCAACATCATTCACCCTAAAAGACGAGGTTTAGTTTTTTCATTTTATTTGGTTGTAAATATATGCATTTTGAATATATCACTGTGTTTGTTTTGAACTTGATTAATTTATTTAATGCCTATATATTGTTGTTTTACGTATACTGATTTAGTTTAAATAACTGGAAACAAATCAAGGGGAGAAAAACCTGTTGCTTATCTAACGTTAAGCAGACCATGCATCAACACTTTTATAATTCATGTTATTCTGCTCATTCATGTTTTGCTGTTTCGGCTTTGGGTGATGATTTAAAAAAAGAAATTGACATTCATTTAATTGTATTTTGTGCTATGTAACATATTATGTTTTACTGTGTTGTATTTGATCAGATGTGTTGTGGTCACTGCTTGTAAAATGATTTTATTCAGAGAGTTTCCAAATCATGACAAAATATAAAAGCAGTCACAAAGTCATAATTGGCCATTTTGTTCATACAAGATCTGTTGTCACTTGCACATTGCACCAAGAGCGGGAAATATAAGTAGGTTACTGTCCTTAAATGTCGACAAGGTGCGTATAGAAAGTTTAAGACATGATGACTGCTGACTTAGTAGAGTGTGCTATAAATTACCAGATTTCTTGAAAGTATTAACTCATTGTACTTGCACAAAAATTACCCAGTGGGTATACAAAAAAAAACAGAGTAGCAACCCCTATCTGATAAATAAGCAGTCACTTGAGTTAGTATGGAGCCCTAATTATAACATGAATTGTCAAATGGATAGATACAATATGTTAAATTATCAATTTAACAACTTCTGTGCAAACAAGCTCAACCACTGCTATCAAATTTAGCCAGTTTACTCCTGATCTTGCAAAGATAACGTCAAAGTAATTCTGATTCAACTAAACATTAACAAGCTGTAAAAAAAACAAAAAAACAGCAGAGACAGAAACTAGCCTTTTAGTTATATACGTATGTTGGGTTTTTTCAAAGAAGACTGCACACATGCTGCTAACTAGATGAGCATAAACACAGTCTGTGGTCGCTTTAGCTACAAGCTAATATTACTAACAAACTATCCTAGCTAGTTAGAAGTTAGTTAGCATGTCTATGCTTGTTGAGCTAAACAAATAAAAGGTTAGTCATTGTCTCTGTTATTAGTTGGTTGAATTGTAATTAGTAGGGTGTTGTTTTTGCTAATGCTAACACAAGCTAACTAGTTAAAGTTGGTAGCATTTGTTGAGCTTGCTAGCTTAAAACTAGGGGAGAAAATATATTTAAATCAAATTAACATTTGTTCAAATGTAAGAATGGTTAAGTAACATCTATTAATGGCCTAATGAAGTTGAGCCTTTTAGAATAAAAAAAGTATATTTCTTTATATATTTTATACTATGTGTTATAGAATGTTTCATAATGTACTCTGTTTCTGTTCAACATTGAACACATGAGGCTCCATAGTTTCATTTGCTATTTTTATTCAAGTGGGTGTCGTTGAATGTTTAATGGACGCATGTATGACGTTATAAAGTGAAGAAGCAACTACATGAGTGAGAGTAGTTTGGGTTGTAGCGGATTGAGGTGAAAGCAGAGAAAAATAAATGCTTGTACTTTGATAAACATCTGAGTTTATCTCTGCCTCTAGTAAGTTTTGTTTTGAATGTGGCAGGTGGTGCACAAGGCTGCTGTACAGTCAACTGGTGATAATGATCATAAGGTGTGTCAATGTTAGGAATGATGAATATCGTATAAAGTTGTGCAGCAATGTTTTTTATGATTTCCTTTATAACCTTCACGGGAAGCGTGTGACACACATTATGTCTCACATAGTGCACACGCTCTTTAAAACACCTACTTTCATTTCTCTAGAGCTGCACATCTCAACGAATAAAGTTTACATTTCATTCACAAAAAAAAGCAAGTGTTCACATTGTGGTAAAAGTGCCAACTTTATTTAGTTGCAAGCTGCTGGGATGCATGGACTTGAGATCATGACATGCTTGAGTTTAAACAATGTCTCATAATGTTTGTAATGAACAATCTTAATTTCTGACTCACATTAACGCTTGTGGCTGGGATGTTCTGAGGTGTGTGCATACGTGGACTATGGAGGCTATTTTTAGATGTAATCTGAACTTTGTTACTGGAGGTTTAATTAATTATACCTTTACTGTGGTGTTGTTCAAGTTTATAGGCATCTATAAATGTGACTCAGAATGGGAGGGGTTGTAGTGCAAGGGACAGAAACATCATACAGGATTAAAAAGTCTAATAGTTTGTTGTTTCATATTATCTCAATACCTTTTAGGAGGGATTTATCTGTAATTTAAAAAAAAAAAAGGACTTTCAATTAGAAGAGATTGTACCTTCAGGTTTTTAAATTGTCTCTTGTTTTCAGCTCAAAACTTTACTTTTGACAGTTTGGTTGTGTTAGTGGAGATTGATAGCGTTAGAAACAAGCTAGAGAAAGACATTATCTTTGATTTAAAGTTGTTGCTGCATTTAATACTTGAGTTGCGCTGTGTGTGTGTGTGTGTGTGTGTGTGTGTGTGTGTGTGTGTGTGTGTGTGTGTGTGTGTGTGTGTGTGTGTGTGTGTGTGTGTGATATGATGTATTATTCAAACAGATATAAAGGTGTGGCTTTTTGTCCTGATTTAAACTCAACTGAAATTATGCCATTTTGTCATAGTGCTAAAATTAATATAAATATTATATATTAAAATATATTTGCTAACCAATATATCATGTGAAGTTGTCTTTCTTTCAAAGATGTTCGAGAGGTTAATTTGTTTATTTTTGTATGACATATTATGACGTTGAGATTTCAGCCCCATACAGAGCATGATATCCAAAATGAGTAATACAATCTCTTTTCAAACTATTAAAACAATTGTTCAGTGCTTAGATATGGCCTTTTTCTTTCCTCTTGTTTAATGGTTAATCAATTTGCAAATTTAAAAAAAGGAATAGGAAAGTATTTTGATGAGTTTCAAATGAATGCATTATATTTAATAATTATATCCATAAATACCCTGTCAAAAAGTTGTCGGACAAAAAAATTGTGATGGGCTCTTCTCGCATCACACAGATTAATCTTTACAAAACAGTTAAACATTAGCTCCATTTTGCAATCTAATCTTGTTGTGACTGTTGTAAAATGTCAATGCAAAGCCTTTAGTCCAAAACAAATATTTAATCCTGCTCTGGATAAATATTGACAGTTTAAAATCGTCACAGCCATGAATAATTTGTAAGAGAAAGGATGCATTGTTCGGTTTCATTTGTGGAGAAAAGGAAACTGCAATGTTAGGTTTCCTTTTCTCCACAAAAAGGTCCAACGTGACATCTTTACAGCGCTTGTTTGCAAACACACGTACACAAGTGTACACACACACACACACACACACACACACACACTGTGGGTGTGTCATGTTGTTATGTTAACTTCCATTACATAAGACTACAGTACATAGTCACCGGTCCGGTGGCACGGTATGTTCACACTTCAGAGACATCTGGATCGTATGGGGAAAGGTAAGACAATTATTTTATATTGAGTATATTTAACATTTACTATTTCCTTTATGTATACATGTATTCATTTACTTCATCATTTGGAGCATCTTGGGTGCAGAAGTTTGAAATGCTACTCAAAATATATGTGTTTAGGGATGGGTACCGAGCTGAATTATTAAAGACCGTGGTACCGTTAAGCTCCGAAGTTATCGGTCTTTTTATTGGTAGGCTACTACTGGACATTTACATTTTTTATGTCATATATATTATTGCTACATAAACATTATATTGCAGTTTTAGTTTCGCCAATTCCGTTTCTCTTATACAATACAAAATGTGTCTATGATGTCATTTCGATTTTTCCAATCCAGACGAGAGATCTCTCAACCCCGTCTGTGTGCGAGGGGACGGGGCGCGTCTATCGTTATTCCCAGCGCCATATAGATAGAACCACGCCCACTTCCGCATTACGCAAGGATCGATGTAGCTGGCACACCCGCGAAATCTGAATCTGACAATGAATCTGACAAGCAAAATACCGTCCTTATAAACGCTGCATAATATCATAGACTGTATGCATAATATACAATATCTTTGTCAATATGACTGACGACCACACTTATGCAGTGCTGAGGTAAT